TTAGGCTCATAAAATTTTGCAAAAATCGAGAATGAGGTAGTGATTTCAATTATTTTCATCTAGGCAAAAAAATTTCTCCAAATTGGAGAAAGTTTAATAATTTTCAAAATATTTAAGTTATTTGTCTCTTCTAAAGCCCAGATAATTTTTCACGGGGAATTATATAAATACTAGAATTATTGTAATCTTGTAAAGTATGGAAATTAAATGGAGTCAGATAATAAATAAGCTGAGTACGACTGAATGAAGCAATATTCAGGGAGACACTACCGACAATGTCCGTGCAAAGACGCCAAAAGCATCCGTACGATTACCCAATTCAAAAAATTTGGCGAGTGTAGTTTTTGGTGGATTTATAGTTCGGTCAATCGCTGTCTCGTTCGTGAAATATACGCTCTGACCGTTTTTAAGATGGACGACTAAATGAATAACGGTTGGATCCCGTTCATTAATTGGGAAACCTAAGATACGCCAAACAGTTTCATTGGAGCTGATGTACCGGCCTATTTGGTACACCGTTTTTTCGTCGTTGTTATTCACTGGAAGAGCAGTCACATTGGTATTTTCAACTCGAAATACTGCTATATCATTGCCTTTATTCACATACTTGCAAATATATTTGATACTCTTCTTTAAAGGGCATGCATAAGTATTAGAGTTTAATGTGACTTGTTGCAACGTGCGTGAATATTATTTTTGATTTATTATGTTTCTATGTCTAGTTTGGATCCGAATACGATTAAATAAAGATATATTTAAAATATACGTTAAAACTGTCCAAAAAATGAAAAAAAAAATTAGATACAAATCATTCTCGAATCCTTCTGAAGGTACACAGAAAATTTCATTTAAATCGGTCCATCCGTTTAGGAGGAGTTCAGTGACATACACACGAACAGACGAAATATATATATAAAGATATAGTTTAAAATAATCGCATTGCTGCAAATGTAAAGAACTTAAACTATGGCTTTTTAATTTTCCTTGGAGACAAAACTTTGAAAAACAGCGGTGTTAAAATTAAGTGTAAAATTAAGGTGTAAAAATTAAGTGCTTCCTCTAAATAATGACAGTCTGTTTAATTGCATAGATTATTTTTCAATAGCATTTGTTGATGCTGCTAAAATATGTAACATAAAAAATATTCTTGAAAATAATGTTAACATCGATGTTATTGTGTATTGGCGATAAATCTCTTGCAACGACGAACATTGCAAAATAATTAAGTTTAGAACTAACATTTGTTATCATTTTATAAATAATTAAATTTCAAAATCTGCAACAAGATAATTACACAAACTACACTGATGAGAAAAAAAGGTTATTAAGAAAAACGCGAATAATGAATGAATATGATCCTAAACTATGGCTTAATGCATAAAATCCGGAGCATTAAGTAAAAGGTTGAGCAACTAATCAAATTTTTATGGTAGTTAAGGGGGTGAAGATGAATATACGCAGATTCGAACCCACGCACACTCAGACTAATTATTACTCTTCCAAAAGCGCGGAATTAAATAAACACTTCCTCTTGCCCAGGAAATTTTAAAAGCTATAAACGCGCCTATCGAGAAATTTTTGATCAAAAAGTAATTTCCCTTTTCCTGCGTTTCCCGTTTAGGAGCAGCCGGAAACTTAATCCAGGGATTATGGCAAAAACAAGGGGAGAAAGGCCATTAAAGCGATACCCCTGTCCCCCTTTCATAAACATTAAGAGGTATAAATACCTATACACAGAAATAACTATGTATATAAAAGTCGTTTGAATCTAATTAGGAGTAGCTTGTAAAACTGAGATTTAATTACTTTTTTGGGATTTGGGAAATGGGACGTAGTTTTCTGGAATCTGAGATCGTAAAGGCTATTTAAGAGTTCGTTGGAACACCCCCCTGTCTCACTTTGTTCGGGAAGTGTCGATTTTAGGAATCGAGGGATTTGGTAGAAAGCAGGCATATTTCTTTTAAAATTTTTGATGTTATATTTTATTAATTTATAAACTTTATTTTTGCCCTTTCACAAAATTTATAAAGTAATTATTGCAAAAACCATGTTTAAAGAGGGGGAGAGGGGCAATTGTCCCGTTGGCCAGATTGAAATTTCTTACTAGAAGTGAAATGATTTTCAATTTATTTTTCTCATATATATATATATATATATATTTTCAAAGCTAACTCGCGTAGTCAAGGATTATACACAGAAAATATGATAAAATTTGGTCTATTGTCACGGAAGCTACCTTTTGGTGATAATATCGGTTTTGGCGAAAATAGACATGATAATCCCAGGATACTCAGAGAAGAGAAAGTATTAAAAATTAGTTTTAAATTACAACGGCAGNTGTGTGTGTGTATATATATATATATATATATATATATTTAAGAGATATTTTTTAAGCACCGAAGCCTTTAAAAATCGAAAAGTTGAGTTACAAGCTCTCAGCTAATAGAACCTTTAAAAGCGACAAGCTTCCAAAACACAAAAACCCGTGCAATTCATACTGTAAAAAGCAAATGGGTTGAAAAAGTTGAGAATGTTTTCTTTAAAACACATTTAAAAATTACTCGTTGTAAAATAAATAAAAATTAAAAAATACAAGAGAATGTCTGAAAGATAAAGTAAAAGCACTGCTCTTCGCTCTATAAAACCCCCATTTAAGTTAAATACCAAAACATGTTTTATCTTATTCCTTCGTTGCTAAGGCAACTAAGTCATTTAGTATGTTATCTAGCTTAATTGATTATTAGTTAGTCTTTCGGTGGGTAAATTAGAGAGATACATTTATTCCGTCACAGTAAGTTTAGGTAAGAAGCAAACCTGTGTATAGTTTGTCTAAATTAAGAACTCCCCTAACATGTCTAAATTTGTCTAAATTAAGAACCCTTAACATGGACCAGTGGTCCATGTTAACGAGGTATGACTATTTCAAGTAGGGGTGTAGGGTCACTGTTTAGGACAGGTTTTGGCTCGGGTCGGTGAGAAGAAGGTAATCTTTTTATCTGGTGTATTGTATTAGCCCTAGAGTGAAGAGAAGCAACCCTCCTTGAAATGCGCTATTCTTGTTTCCATAGCAGCAGACGGCGTCAGTCTTTGAGGAGGGGAGAGTTCTTACTATAGACAAACTATACAAACGGCTACAATCAAGTTGAGCCTTGGCTCAGAGCGTAACAGAGAAGCAAAACCGTTCACCACATGCACTAACCCATTTTTCTTCAACACAACTGTTTCATAGTTTTATTCATATATCACATTTTATTTTATAACCGTCGTTGAACAGCCGACCCAATTTCATGGGTTTACGACTACTTACGTTCAACTCCGTAGCCTTTTAATTTTGAACCAATCCAGAAGACAAGGTAACTCCTGGATCTGTACCCCCAGAGGTATTGATTTGTTGTGGGAACATGGAGGACTTTGAGACTCGACAGATTTAACGTGCATCAGCCACCATTTACTACACGGGGAGTCTTCGGCCGGCGAGGATCGAACTCACGACATCTTGGATATGGGCCCAGCGCCCTACCGACCAGGCTATCCCGGCCCTATATCATATTTTAAAGATCAACCTACATATATATTTTAAATTTTTAAGAACCAAAAGAAAATAACAGTACAATTTCGAATAAAAAAAATTTCGTACCTCGCTTAACTAACAAATAGATATGTTCAACAAATGAATAAATTAAAATGCATAAAATATCACTTTTAAGTAAATAATATGTTCTTTTTTCAAATTTATTTCTGTTTCTAACAGTTATCCATAGCAAGTTAAGTTAAATTTTGCCTATTTTTAGCCATTATTCCCGATGTAAATACGAAAATGACGATGTGAATATAGAGATGAGTTCGGGCTCGCTTTTGAAAGTTATTTATTTAAAAAGCCGAGCAAATTCAGGCTGCCTCGCATTTTATACAGGGATTTTGAGAGAGAATTGGTTGCATGATTTTTCTGTAAACGTCATCGAAAAGGGAAAATTTAACCATCTCAATTCCTTTTAACAGTTGGCGTCTTTTATAGACTCCAGGGAATTTTTAGGTTTTTCTTAATGAGTATATTTAATGAGTTAAAACCATTAACTTCAGAAAATAATTTTTTTATTAGAATACTAACTTTTTATAGGTCTTTGTGAAAGAGCACTTTCTATGCCTTCAAATTAATATGCGAAATATATTTTTAGCTATGAATTAAAATAAAAAGACTCGCACGCGACATTCTACTATATTACTTCGATATATTTGAAAAGTTACTCCAACGTTTCATTACATGGGCTCATAAAAATTTGCACATTTATTGATTTTGTGTTGAGAATTAATTATTTATTTTGATAATTTCCATCGGGATGGTAGTGGCAAATGTTCCGTTCGTGTAATGTTCGATTCGAATAAAAATTCTGAGTTGAAAACAAAAAGAGAAATTTATTGGATATTTAACATAATTGAAGGTGAGAGATGTTTCGCTATTGAAGAATGATTGAATCATTTCACATTCACAGCGCATGCGTTGCAATAGCAGGACAAGTGGCGCCGCTCCAGGTAAAATCTTACAAAATTGGCAATTTTTTAAGTTTTTTTTTTTTTAAAAAGATAAGTTTATTCTAAAGTTTTTCAAAGTTATTATTTAAGTTTATTCTAAAAACTATATAATTTTTTAAGATAATATGGTTTACATAGATTAAAATTATAACTTTGTCGTAAGGCACTTAAACTATGGCCTTTTTAGTTTCCTTGGCGAAAGACCTTCGAAAATGCTCTTGCCAAATTTCTTAAAAAAAACTTTACTAATTTTTTCAAATATTAAAATTGTTCTTCCGTTCTAAAACTGAGATATTTTTTTATTACAAGATAGAACTTAGTTTGAAATTATTAATTTGCTTCAAGTTTAAGGCACTTAACTAGTGCATTCCTTATTTTTCCAGGCAAACAATTTTCGACAAATATTTTAAAAATAATAAATACATAATAAATATTCTCAAATAATTTTAAATTAAAAAAAAAATAGTTACCTTATGTCAATGTTTTACTTCGATTTCAGTCACCTGTAATAGATAGGAAAAGTCATTTTAGTGTTTTAATATGAGTGGTATAAAAAAAAATTTTTTTTATTGCATTCACAAGAAGAAAAAAAAAGTTAGGTAAATTCGAAAAAGGAAAATGTGAGTAAACTTTTAATTTTTAATACATTACAGTCTATTGGCAGCAAGAACATAAATAGAACTAAACAGTAAATAGTTTTGTGGTTCATTTACGTACAATTGTAAAAATACAATACAGCCCCTAACAGTTAAAAACTTCTATCCTAAACATAAAAAAGAAGAAAAATATAGCTCTTCAAAGTTAAGTGATCGTTATAAATTTTACTTTCGATTTAAAAAAGTAACAGTATCATAATTTTAGAATTCGAAATATTTTTGTTTCTAAAAAGAAATGTTTATCCTATTTCAAAGTTGTTTCGTGTTACCAAAGCCAAAAGGAAATGATTGTGGGATGGAAGGGGAAGTACTTAAAAAAAAAAAGAGAAAAGGAATTTTATTTCCCTTTGTCGCGGGGGAATACAAGATCCCATTTACGATGCCAAAAGATGTTATCTTTAGCGAGAATCTGTCATTCAGATATTTAGCGACTTTTTCCCTCAAAATAAAGAGAAGAAAAAAAAAATTCTAACGATACTGATGAAAGGAATTCGTTATTCCCTTTTGTCTAAAAATTCTTTTGAAACTACCATTTTTTTGAAATAAAAGAAATCCCAGTTTGAATATCACCTCTTCATATGAAAAGAAATTTAAGAAATTCTTAAAATAAAATAAAAACTAACAATGTTTTAAAAATTAAATGAAAATTTTGTAATTTTTTGTTTGTTTCATTTTTACGTTGAGTTTTAAATCAGACTAGCTAGTAAACCTAATTGGTAGTTAATTGTGATTTATTTAAGTCATGACTTATTTTGGTATTAACACACGATGAAGACCAAGGTGACTAAAAATCTTGATCAACTTAAGATTCTTACACTATGAGATCTATTGTACAAATATATATATATATATACATTATAATGTGTCGACACATTACAAAGAGTAATATTTTTTTCTTAGGATAATTATTTTTTATTCAGAAATATAGCATTTATCGTAAAGTATGTGCCCTAATGAAGACCTTTACGTTTTCCCATTAAAAGTTTTTCTATTTTATTTCATTTTATTCCTTCGTCTTTGTTTATATATATTATATATATGTATATATTATGTGTATAAGTTATAGTTTATAAAACAACCTACATTCTTACAAATAATACTGTTATTTATTTAAATAAACTTTTTTTCGTTTTGTTTTTAAGAACCTTCCATGATTTTTATTGTTATCCAAGGACATAAGAAATTTTTTATTTAGATCTATTTTTAATAGTTTTAATAGCAATAGTAATAGTCAAGTAATTTTTTCTTTAGAAGATTTCTTTGAGGAAAGCTCACAATTAGTTGGAATCTCCTAATCGATTGATGAATTGTACATAAATGATGATAATTATGTCGCAATTGTCCGCCGCTTATATGTCCGTTATTCGGTGTTTGAATAATTGCAAAACTGTTCCACTACTAATCAGTGGTAAATAATGAATACGTAAATTTGTGATTACCCGTGGAACAACATGCTTCTCTCATTACCATCATGATGTAAATTCCCATATTATCTACTTGAATTTCATATAATGGGGTAGTCTATAAACGGTTAATTTAATAACTAAGTTAATGTATCAGCAACGCCATTTACTCTTTGAACAACATTCTGTGAAGCAATTATGTTTAATGAACGAAATTATAATTTTATACGGACTTTGTATTTGAAACTTTTAATATATAGGTTAAGCCAAAAATTAACATTAGTATAGTTAAAACGATGAAATTTAAACTTAAATAAGCTAAATAAAATCGTGTGTTTTGTTTTGCGTTGAACTTGAAGAATTTAATAAAACACTTTAGCTGAATAAGTAAAAACTTTTGATAAGAAGTTTAACTCAAACAGTGCTTGCATTGTGATACCATTGCTTTATTTGTGCTTGAAATGCTTGATTCATTATTTCCATAAGTGTAATTAAAATGATAAACTATATAAATTCACAAATTTTGGTTCAAACTGAACTTGAAACGTTTACTAAAGCACTTTAGATGAATAAGACACTTATGGAAAAAAATTAGCATAAAAGATTTAATGTTTTAAGTACTATTGCTTTACGTATATTTGAAATGTTTAATGCATTATTTACATATGTGCAATTAAAATAATGGATCTTAATCTTAAATGAGCAAAATAAAATCATGAGTTTTGGTTAACCTTGGAAGCAAAATTTTTCAGTAGTTTAAAGGATGCTGTTGCTTTACGTCTATTTGAAACTTCTTAAGCATAATCTACTTAAATGTAATTAATGTAATAAAAATGAGAGAAGCAATTCATTAGTCTTGGTTTAATTTGAGCTAAAAGTAAAAACTTTTAACGAAAATTAAAATAGAACACTTCAGTCACTTAAATAGTATTGTTTTATCTGTATTTGAAATGTTTGATACATTATTTACATAAGTATAATTAAAACAGTAAAACTTNATATATAAATGTTTAATGAAACCTCGATAGTTTCATTAACACCTCAGTTGTTTTCATATAAGATTAAGAAAAGCAGATTAACTTATCAGAGAAAGATTAACTAGACTCAGTAACATAATAATATGCAAGATTTACCTAAGTCCAGTAATTTTACTGGTGACTTTAGAATGAAACTTATTAATTAGTTTAACTTTTATTACTATTTACTTGACGTTATTTACATTATAGATGAGCAACTACGAACAAAATAAACATGTGAATTCAGATAATTTCTTAACTACTAATTCCTTGAAGTCAACCTTTGTTGATTTTCGTATATGCTTACCGTGCTTAAGGATAAAATAGAAAAAACTATTAAAGAATGTACAAAAAAAGTCTCAATAATAAATTTTGGTTAAACAGAGCTGAAGGCTAGAAGGCATCACTGATGTAATCTTTTCAATAGTTGAAAAAGATAATTGGATACCTACAATAGACGTCATCGTGAGTGTTGATCCTAATTGGCTATTAAAACGTAGCATTTATTTATGTTACCAATTGTTCTTTCCACTCTTTCGAGTAAGTTCGTTAAACATGAAGTCGATACGTGATCCCTTGATAGATATAAAATCATGCGAAAATCTCGCAAGCAATGGATTCTTATAAATTAATGAAATATGCAACTAATACTTAGCAAAACAAAGGGCAAAAGCTATTAATTTTCCTTCATTAACGAAAAGCCGACGATAAAAGAAAACCTAACAGCTGTAACGTTAAGTACTAGCTGGCGCTGTGGTCATAGATCAGGTGATAGTGTATCAGCGGTCTTCCTCTTCTCCAGTTGAGAGAGCTAAAAACTAAAACTTCCCCTTACATCCACTTTCAAAATTTCAAAATTACCGCAAACGGTACAGGAGTTATTAAGTAAGAAAACAGACACAGTCACTCAATTTTTTCCTTTTATTGTAATAGATTTTATTATTATAGATTTATAGTGCATAATTTAAAATTAAAACAATAACTCATTGTGTTTGTATAGTTTCAGAAAAGCAACAAAAAGCGGTTATGTTTTTCTTCATTTCAAAGCATCCTGACTCCTACAAATATTGTTTGTTTATTAGTGCGTGATTGGGAATAGCTTTAAGATTACGATTACACCATATCTTGGCTCTCAAAAATCCAAATTTGTCTAAAATTAGATAAATTTAATCGAACAGAGAGAGATACTCCGTTGTATTTTGATTTAATTTACCCTTTGCACTAATTAATTAGCATATCTAAAGAAAGCACTTCGCAACCATGAAGAAAGTACCTAAGTTTACGCAGACACATTTCTTAGTTAACGCCATTTTTCGAAGCTCTGTCGCCAAGGAAAATAAAAAAAGTCATAGTTTAAGTGCCTTACACTTAAAACAATGTGATGATTTTAAGCTAAACATATAATTTTGCCGTGAAGAATTATCTGAGCTTTAGAGTAGACAAATAACTCTAACATCTAATATGCAATATTTTAAAAGTTATTAAACTTTTTTAAAAATTGCCAATTTAGCGACATTTTTCCCACTTGATGAAAATAATCAAAATCACTGCCGTATTCTCTGTTTTTGCAAATTTAATGCGACATTGGAATAAGCTTTTAAATATTAAAAAATTAGACCACAAATGCTTTTCGTTTTCACGTAACTGTGGCTTTTCTCCACATTGACGTTTTGCGCCATTCTCAAAATAAGCGTAGACAGCGCTATCTTTAGATAGGCTAAACTTGACCTAACAGTCATGAGTAACAGTTGTAAACTCACAGCAGTTATAAAAATAGCATATTATTCGCAAAAAAGCATCATTTCATAGGACGACGGAGACAGCCTTGACATGTTTCGCTCACATTTCTGCAACTGATTGCGTGAATGAAACATCTTTGCGTACAGTTGTAATACTTGCTCTCCTACAAGCACAAAATAAAAATAGTTTAGCTTAAAACTCATTTAGTTCTCCTCTTCAATCAATATTTCTTCCCTCATATCTTTCTAAGAACCACCGGACGAATTTCGTATAAAATAAACATTCATATTTCTCTTTTTTGCTGTTTTGGAGGAGTTTTCATTAAGTGCTTTCAAGTTTTATTGCCCTAAAAAAAATCAAGATATTGCAGCGTTTAAAGAGTTAACAAAAGAAAAAAAAATTCCCACACTATCAATTGTGGGTTCTCATCTCATCACAAAATTACACGCATTTGGCTCCTTTTCTTTGAAAATAAGATGATGGCAGCTATTTGGCATTCGGGGCACGTATTTCGGAAATCGCCAAAATTATCATGGGTTCCAACTTATGATAAAAAATAAAAATGTTACTTTCAAAACGGTTATACATGGATTCAACTCACAATTCTGGCTTTGTGCCTTTTCCTATTATTTCCTACATAATGTTCTCTGATTCCTTTTTATTAAAAATTTGATAAATTCTTATTTAA